CCACTCCTCTCAACCCCACCCCCCCACAGGCCCCCGACGCCGACTCCCTGGAGCGCTTCTTGGGCGGCCTCCCCCTCATCGCCGACGTCGTCATCCTGTCGCCCCACGGCTACTTCGGCCAGAGCAACGTGCTGGGGCTGCCAGACACGGGGGGCCAGGTGAGGGGGTGGCCGACGGCCGCGGCGCTGACAGGGGATTTGGGGTGTTTTTGGCACCGGAGCAGGGTAGCGCCTGTGTCGGGCGAAGGGCTGCGGTGCAAGGTTTGCTGGGAGTTTCACCTTGGGAGTTGGGAGTCACGCCCTGGGATCTAGTGCAAGAGAGGAACGGCGGCGGTGTGGGGCAGCTTGGTTATGTGTGGTGCGAGGAGGGGGAGCTTAAGAGGGGTTGGGTGCCGGGGGGTCGCTGGGAGGCAGGGGCTGGCTCAATGCAGCACAGACTTCTGGGTTATCGGGGGGTCTGCCTGGGTGTGAGCCATGCACTGCCCTTGTGGAGGCGTGTGTGCAGGGCCGTCAAACTCATCCTGCGGATGATGGACGGCTCTGCGACCGCCCACACCGCCGCTGCCTTGCGCGTGCTGTCCGCCGCAACTTGCGGTTTTGGGAGGGGCAGCAGGAGAAGGGTTGGGTGCCGGGCGGTTGCTGGGTGGCAGGGGCTGGCTTCAGGCGTCGCGGGCTCGTGGGGTTGTGCGAGGGATGTCAGCGTGAATGCAGCCCGTGCGCTGCTCCTGCAGAGGCGCGCAGGCAGGGCCGTCAGCCAGCCGAGGAACATGCGACGGCCCTGCGGCCGCGCCCGCCACCGACGCCGTGCGCGCTTTGTCCGCGGCCGCGCACGCCGTCCTGCCCCGCCTGCGCCCCCCCGTTGGCCGCAAACCTCCGTATGCCTTGATGGGGGGGGGGCGCGACGGCTTCGGCCCCCGCAAGCCAGCCCCCCTCTTCCTGAATGTACGCGGGCGTCTCAGCCTGCGTAGTTTCTCTCTCTCTCTCTCTCCTGTATGCCAGCGCCAAGGCGTATCAGTGTCTCAATGCGCCGCCTGCGTGGCTCCCTGCTGTCAGAGCCCAGGCATGACACCTGTACTTCATCTTCTCACACCCTCCCTCTGACCCCCCCCTGCCCTGCATCATCATGTTTCCTGCTGTGATGAAAGGTCGTGTATATCTTGGACCAGGTGAGAGGCATTGAAAGGCTTATAACTTGGAATACACGGTAGCAACGGGATGAATGTAGGTGTGGGGGCGGGGGCCGGGACCGCAGAGCGCGCTGGGGCGGCACTCACGGAAGAGGGTGGCGGCACCAGCAGGATCACCGGCGCCGGCGGGAGTGATCGCTGCGTTTTGCAGACTCCTCGCCCCGGAGCACAGCTCTTCGTCAGGCGGGGCCCGCCGCCCAGTCTCGCAGTACACACATTCCGCCTTCCGGCCGCCCGATCTCCTTCCATTCCACTTCCGCCGCCACCCCCTCCCAACTGATCGTTGTCTACACCACACATAACTTTCACTGAGACGTTCGCGTCCCCCATAAACCCCAAATCGCAGGTGCGTGCGCTGGAGGCTGAGCTGAGGCGCCGCCTGGACGAGCAGGGCCTCGCGGACGTCAACCCCAGGGTGAGGGCTCCGGGTCGTTTGCTACTGGGTCTGCCTGCTACTTCGCTTGTTGCCTGTTGGTTTGGTCCCAGATGAAGCGGTCTGGGTTCCGTTTTCAAAGGTCTGGGTCTAAGGTAGCTTCTCCATTTGGGAAGGGGTTTTGTGTCTCTTACGTTCTAATTGAATTAGGGCGGGCGAGCCGCAGTGCTTCGGGTGGACAGGGTGTTTAAGGGATGATGCTGCTAATGCCATTGACTCGGCGGGGGAATGGACCACTAGTCGTGGGGTCCCTATGGTGGTTTGGGGGCGTTGTTGGAAGGGGCCGAGGCGTACGGTGAGGTGCATGGCCGCGCTGGTCTTTCTGACCTGATTTGGGAGGCAGTGGCATGCGAGCTGGAGCGCAAGCGCAGTGTGGTGTCTTTGGGTGGCGGAGTTGTTGACACCACTCTGCGCCTTGTGCGGCCGAGCTCGGGCGGATGCAAGGGAAAAGCCTCCGTGTCTCATGATCTGATTTGCCTCCTGCAGCACAGCGCCTGCCCCTGCCGCCCCTGCCTGCCAAGCCTGCAGCTGCTCTTATGCCAGCCGTCGGTCCGTCCTCAAATCAGTTTCCCAGGCCCTCACCACATCGATTGATAGCACCTGTCGGCCCCTCACGCACAGCACCTTGATACCGCCCTTGCTTGCTCCCCTGACCTTGGGATGCTCACAAAACGACAAAACGACGCCCCCCCTCCAGGTGGTCGTCGTGACGCGCCTGATCCCCGAGGCGTGCGGCACAACCTGCAACGAGCGCGTGGAGCGCATCCACAGCACAGAGGGCGCCTACATCCTGCGCATACCCTTTAGGGACCCCAACACGGGCCAGGTGCGGCGGGCGGTGCGTGTTGTGTGGCGGGAGAGCTGGGGGGCCGTTGGGTGGGGGCAGCTGATGAGTGGGGGCAGCTAATGAGTGGGGGTGATGATGCGGCGCGGCTGTTTGTATTCTGCGGGCCATCGCAGTGCGCGAGCACTGTGTCGGTAGCACACTCAGCGTGTTTGACTGTGTCCAAGCAGCTCACGCGCCTGCCCTCGCGGCCACTTGGGTCCGGGGTTCCGGCCAAAGGGATGCAAGGGGGGCAGCGACAAGTGGCAGGAAGTTGTTTGGGATGCCGGCGCTCCTCAGGGCATGGTAGTTGCACCACCTCGCGCGATCTGCAGCCCCCGCAACCAGCCAAGTTCCCCGCAGCACTCAGCCGGCGGCTAAGGCTGTTTGTATGCTTTGCTATCGTGTATCTTCCCTCCCCACTACCTGCTGCAGCCTGGCTAGTGCATGCTTTTTGTAGCCACGTATGGCCGCTGCCTCCCACGTGAGGCATGGCTCTGAAGGGCCAAGAAACTGCACCCATAGGTGGTTTCAGCTAATGTTGATTGTTGGGCTAATGTTGATTGTCGGGCTCAGAACTTTCCACATCCCCTTGCCTGGGGTGTAGGACGTCCTCGGAAAACACCCCAGGTCGTAGGGCATGTCGTTGAATCCGGCTCCATTCCCCACCTGCTGCCCCACCCCTCCCTTCGATCCCTTTGCCCCACGCCCGCTTGCTGAACTCCTCACCACCCCTCCATAACATCAAACCAGGTGCTGCGCAAGTGGGTGAGCCGCTTTGACCTGTGGCCCTACGTGGAGCGCTTTGCCCTGGACTGCGAGAGGGAGCTCAGGGCAGAGCTGGGTGAGGCGCCTTTTTGGGGGATTGAGCCCTTGCTTGAAGGCCTTCCTTTCTTTGTGGGATTTTCGGGCTTGTTCAAGGAATGGGGTGGGGCAAGGGAGGGTTTTGGGCCGGGCAGCCCTGGGCAGTCCTGCCACGCTTCGGCACGGGCGCTGTGCGGTGGAGGCATGGCCATTGACCTGTCGGAAAGCATGGGGGCGGGCAAAGCATGCGAGCAGTCTTGAGGGGCAATCCTTCGCGTCTCGGTGAGTCAAGGTCAAAGGATGTTCCACCTCAGCGCGAGGCAACCCCCTTCGGTCTGTTGACCCGCTCACCGGGCTGCACTCAAAACTTGGCAAACTTCGAGGTGCAGCAACGTCGGTTGTCGCACCTCAGCTGCGTTAGTGGGGCCGCTGCGTATGCACCTTCTGATAGCTTTCACAGCATCACAGGTCATGACACCTCTGAAGCACCTGGCACGCCGTCGTGCCGCACTTCTTACACGACCGCTGACATGTGCTCAAGTGTCCATTGTGAACAAACACAACGAGGGCATCAGCCCCCCCTCCCAAACAGCATTGTCTTATGCAACTTCAAACCCCTTCTCCAGTGCCGGTACCAATATCGGCCCCCACCCCCTCCTCTCCTGCCATACCAACCCATCACCAGGGGGCAAGCCGGACCTTATCATTGGCAACTACAGGTGACTGGTTGGGTCCATGAGTGTTTGGGTTGGTATGCCCAGGAGTGATTTGCGCATTGCCTACCCTGGCGTTTGGGTGTTGCAAACTTCCACCTAGGGGTGGAAGGTTGGCCCAGCTTTGCTGTATTGGGCAAATTTTGTGGCGTCCGGCGTTATTTTTGAGAATCCGGTGTGATTCTCAGACGATTTGCACCAGTGAGCGTCTATAGTGTGCTGTCGTCACTGGTGCAAAGCCGCCACAGAATTGCGCGGAATGAGCGTCCAGCCTGCAATCCCTTGCCGGCCCTCATCCCTACCCGGAAGGCCTGTCTGCCAGGCATCCGCCTTCACCACTGTCCCGGCCCTGCTTCACACGAGCTTGCCCCGCCTTGTCTGGATGTCTGCTACTCCTGTACTTCAACGCACACCTGACGTACAAATGTGCTCGCCCCCTTCCTTCCCAAACCAACAAACAAACTCAGCGACGGCAACCTGGTGGCGTCCCTGCTGGCGCACCGCATGTTCGTCACCCAGTGTGAGCTTTGATGTCGAACAGTACACCCGAACGGCGAACCCAACACGCTTCACACAGGGCTGAGTGCAAACAATTCATATAACCTGCTGCTCATTGGAATTGTTTGCACTCAGCCCCCAGCGAGCTCGCTTCTTCACCCGCTCTCTGGCATCCTGCACTCCCTTACCCCCTTGGCACCTCAGCCTGAAACCCCCACCCCTCACCTGCCACCCCAGGCAACATTGCCCACGCCCTGGAGAAGACCAAGTACCAAGATGCCGACATCAAGTGGTGAGCCACGCGGGGTGGTGATGTCGCTGTGACATCGCACACAAGTCGTGAGCCATGCAGGCGTACTCTTGGCCTGTCGGCGGTGTTGTTTGAAGAGTGATGGAATTGTTCAGCCTTTTTGGGGAAAGGACAACCCACAAGGGTGCTCTAGAGCAACCAGCCCTACCTGTTTGGCGGCTCAGTTGAACATTTCTTATCATGTCGTAATTGGTGTAGTTTTGATCTCAGAGCTTCGGCCTCATGCCAACTTGCGGTCTCCCTGGGGCAGCGCCGGAAGGTCGGGCCGGCCAACCTGGCAGTGTCGCTCAGGTTGCCTCCAAGCACTGCCAGGTGGAGCCGCGGCCCAAGCACACCACACCGCGCTCCCTGTTTCTTTGCCGCTCTGCTGCTCAACTGACCCTGCCGGAGGTCGGCCCCAACCCCACAACACAATCTGGATGTACACCATTCAGTCACAAGAATCCTCTCGCTCCCACTGCCCTCGCACACAGGGCGGACCTGGACCCCACCTACCACTTCAGCTGCCAGTTCCTGGTGCGCAGGCACCGGCGCTGAATCATCCTCGCGCAAAAATACACTCCTCATGCCAGCAGACCCGTCAGCTGTGGCTTGTGGCGACTCATGATCATGACACCCAACATTCAGCACATTAGAACAGAAGCTCCCACTTTTCGAACCTTCATGTGACCCAACCCAATCCTGATTCACAACCTGCCCCTCATACACAGGCTGACCTGGTGGCCATGAACCACGCAGACTTCATCATCACATCGACCTACCAGGAGATTGCAGGTGAAAGGGGGTCGCATTGTGATGATGGGGCGGCTGCCACGAGCGAGTTGAGAGGGAGTGTGCTGCTTGTCCGGCGCCTACAGGGGGCGGCTGTGATGCCTGGGAGGCAGGTTGTCGCTGTGGATCACCAGCCCCTGGATGGTGCACTTGGCGCAATTTGATGGGTTACACGCGGGCGTTTCGGCCAGCTGCTATGAATGTTGGTGCCTGCTGAGTGTTCAGGGGGGGGGCGGCAGCATGTTGGGCGTGTTGCGACGTCCTGGCTTCTCTGCCAGCAGCGGACAATGGGTGCGGTCCGACTGCAACAGTGACAGCGAGACCCCCTCCCATGTTCTGCTGCCAGACACTGTGGCTGCGGTAGACAAGCGATTTGTGAATCAAGCGCAACCCCGGCGCTCTCCTGTGCGCGGATATTGCCACATCGGCACGCTCGCAATCTCGCTGCACTGATTGCATTTCATGCCTATGCCAAAGCGCCGCTGAAGCTCCGCCTTAGCCTCGGAAGGTGTTGCCGATGGGGGTGAAAGGGTCCACTTTGGCATGCTTGCACACACAAGCGGGCGCGCGTGTGTTGTGGGGGGGGGGCGTGTACGTTTGCGCTGAAGCTCCGCCTTAGCCTCGGAAGGTGTTGCCGATGGGGGTGAAAGGGTCCACTTTGGCATGCTTGCACACACAAGCGGGCGCGCGTGTGTTGTGGGGGGGGGGCGTGTACGTTTGCGTGTGCTTAAGTGTTTGTGTGCGTGTGTTTGTGTATGTACGTGTGTGTGGGGGGGGTGTTGGCCGTTCTTGGCGGCCATGTGTCTAGTATTGGTGTGTGCACGCGTAACGTTTGTGCCAACGGCAATCCCCAAGTCACACTGCAAACTTTCCTGTGACCCGGGGCTGCCGTCGCAATGCACCACGCCGGCTGTGCCATGTGCAGTATGCATCGTCTTCTGCATCCCTGGGTTCAACGCGCACCCCTGGGCAGCAGTTGGCACAGTCCCCCCAAACAAAACAACTGCTGCCTCCTTTGACACAGCGCGCGAGGCTCCACCCCCTGACCCACCGCCAACCCCCGGCCCCTCACCCATCACTGACCCCCACCCCCTCCGTCCCCAGGTAACGAGACCCTGGTGGGTCAGTACGAGAGCATGAAGGCCTTCACGATGCCCAAGCTGTTCAGGGTGGTCGAGGTGGGCCCAATATCCAGATCATCCATGCTTGTGGGGTTTGAGTCTGCTGCTGTCTGCAGCAGCGTGGCTAGCAGCGTGGCTAGCCATGCTTCAGTCAGCCGTGAATTTTTTTGACGCATTCTGCGCACAGCACTCGCGCCACAACCAGCTGCCGTTGAATTGCAAGTGCAGCAGTGAACGGGGATGCGGCTTTGTGTTCCAGGCAGTCGGCTGGGGCCAAGCGGCCACAGGGCGCGGCCTTGTGCAGCTCTGTGGGGTGTGGGGGGGGCCATATATGCCGCTGGGACAAAAGAAGGGGTGACGTTTCTGTCTTCTCACCCCTTCACGCTCCCGGCGACCTGCCGCCGTGCGGGTGCTGAGCATCGTGGCCGGCGCAGCCACGAATCGCGACCCTTTGCCGCGCCTCAAACCTGTGGCGCCCCCCTCCCCCGCCGTCTGTTGGCCTGGGGCCTCCATTGCCCACCACAGCACCACCTCTACTCTGGACGGGTCGCACACACATCCACCCGTACATGTCCTACCTCCACCCCCACAACCTCACACTTCTCACCCAACCACCCACCCACACACCCATCCTCGCATGTCTAGGGGATTGACATCTACGACACCAAGTTCAACATGTGAGCCTCCCCGAGGGCGTCCATCCAGAAATGACGATGGCTCTAACTACGATTCGCATTGCAGTTGCACACGCTGCTCTGTTAATACTGTGTACCGTGCGTGGCTCGTCTGCCTTCACTCTATCATGCCACCTCTACGGTGTATACTGACCCTTGATCCCTCACATCAACCCAATCCCCTCAACCCGGCCTTGCTTGGCAGCGTGTCCCCAGGGGCGGACCCCGACATCTACTTCCCCTTCTCAGAGGCTGAGAGGAGGCTCACGTCACTGCACGGCGACATGCGGGTGCGCCACACGCATGCTGATTGAGAGGGGTGGGGGCGGGGTGAGAGCACGGCCGCTCATTCCTACGTGTGCCACCTTACTGCCCACGCTACTGGCACGAGGGCCGACGACCAACAGCCCCGCACATGCATGGCATGTATGGCAGGCTGCCTCGAACGCGAGTCATCCGCGAGGAAGGGGTTGCTTATTGATGTAGAAAGCACCACCTGCTGCATTGTTAAGTTGCGCTCAATCCATGAGATTCCCTTTGCACGCCGGCCCCCCCTTACCCTGGTGCACGGGAGCTGCAACCACCGCCGCATCCCACATGCGCGAGCATTCCCATCTGGACCAACCCATGGAATCTCATCTGTGCCCCACCCCGCCCCTCCACCTTCCAGGAGCTGCTCTTCGGCTCCGGCGAGGCCCCCACCGCGGTGTCGACCCTGGACGACCCCTCCAAGCCGCTGCTCTTCAGCATGGCGCGCCTGGACCGCGTGAAGAACCTCACAGGGCTCGTGGAGTGGTGGGCACGTGACTGGCCTGCTCGGGCTGTGTTTGTTGGCTTGGGGTTGCAGACCACAGCAAACTGCCAGGCCGGCTCTGGTGTCTGGAGAGGGGTTGGGCTAGTAACGCCCGCTTTGAGTTGGTTGGAGGGATGCAGGGCGGTTTGAGTGGTGGGGGTTTGACCTGGCGACTGTTGCGTAATGGGGGCAACACCTCGGTTTGATGGGTTTCATGCTATTGTGGGGAGCTGGTTTTGGGTCAAGAATGCAGGTGGGCCATGGGACATGGATTGTGTGCAGAGTCAGAAGAGCTTCCTGTGCGCACGGCTCACCGTCTCAAAGCTGCCCTGAACCTCGCGCACTGCAAGGTGTTGCGAGCCAGGCTTGCCTCTTGACCAAATCTGCCACTGCGCCCCACCAACTGCCCGCCCCTCGCCGCCAATCCCACGGCATCTCAAATTTCTGCGCAACATCAGGCCTGCGTCCAGCACCCCAGACTCACACCCGCTCTTCAGCAGCAACCCATCAGCATTTCCCTTTCCCCGCTTCGATCGTCAATCTTGAACCTCAAACGCCGCAGGTACGCCCACAGCGAGCGGCTGCGCAACGTGTGCAACCTGGTGATCGTGGGCGGCGTCATAGACGCCTGCCATACGGGCGACAGGGAGGAGGCTGCTGAGTGTGAGAAGATGCACCGCCTCATCAAGGAGCACAACCTCAGGGTGGGTCGTGTGTGTGTGTGTGTGTGTGTGTGCGCGCATGCGTGCGTGTGTGCGTGTGTGTGTGTGTGTGTGTGTGGGTGTGTGTTGGGGGGGGCTCATACAGGTGTCTGATAGCAAACGTAATTGCGCATGCCCCCAAGTGTGCGTGCACCTCTATGTGGTTGATTTGTTGGGTTGGAAGGGGCCACGGTTGCTGTGGTGGCGAGGGGCTGAGGCAGTCAGCTATGTATTGTATTGTTGCGGGAGGGGCAAGGGGCAGAACGGCAAGGTCTGCCGCCAATCCAGCAAGTTTCAGAGTTGATGCTGCTGCAATGCGCCGGTCCGTGTGATGCAGTGGACCCCTCTTCTTGTGACATTTTTGTGCACGACTGTGAAAATGGCTGCTGGACGCATCGCCTCGCTCCCACCTGTGCATCACCCAGCCTCTGCGCCCCCCCGCATCACCCAGCCTCTGCGCCCCCCCGATGGCAGTGATGCTATGGCATGAGTAACTTATCGATCTATCTACCCCGCCCCTTGCACCTGCGCTGCAAAACCCGTCACATCACCCCCCAGGGCAGCCTGCGCTGGGTGGTGGCCCAGAAGAACCGCGTGCGCAACGGGGAGCTGTACCGCTTCATAGCAGACACCAGGGGCGCATTTGTGCAGGTGGGGCACTGGCCGCTGTCCGGGGGCTCACTGGGCGGCGACAGAGCCGCATTGATTGCCTGAGGTCGCGTAATAAGAGGTGCCCGCGCCCTCCCAGGGTCCACCTCCGTTGCGCCCCCACTACCCCTCCACCCCCCTTGCTAGTCCTGTCTTGATCCCCTCGCAGCAGTTTCTGGGTGCTCCCATTGTCAATACCTCCCTCAAACCCCGCCTTCCCCCGCCCCGGCTGCCCTGCCCCCTCCCTCCCAAACCAGCCTGCGCTGTACGAGGCCTTCGGCCTCACTGTGGTGGAGGCTATGACCTGCGGGTGAGCAGGGCGGCGCCGCGGGGCTGCTGGCCCGGGCTGATCGCTTGCGTGGGCACTGCCATGGCTCTCGCCCACGCTCCAGGGGCCGCCGCCGCAGCTCGTGGCCGGGCCAATCAAAGCGCGCGGGTGAACGGCAGGGCAGGGCATGCTTAGGTTGGATCAGCTTCAAACCTGTCCCCCCGCTTGTCCCCGTGGCTGGGAGCATGTGTTTGGGGTGTGTGGCGTGCGGCTCCCTCTGTCGTGCCTTCCTGGCATTGAATGGCTCTGAGCTGGGCGTCGACAGAGCCATTCAATGGCAGGCAAGGCCGAAGGGTGTCTAAGTGGCAGCCATTTGCTGCATCCATGATTCACGTGCGCACGCGACATACCCTTGCCAAGCACCCGTGTTGCAGCGCACCAACGCCCCAGTCTACGCTGCCGCATGTCACCCTCCCGAACCGTCCTACGCCCAGCACCACAGTTCAACCTGCCCACTCATCTGCAAACGCCCCTTGCGTCTGCTTCTACTCTGTAACTTCCAGAACGCTGCCCCCCATCCCCAGGCTGCCCACACATGCTTTCACCCTGCTGACTCCGTCATGCTGCCCCCCAAACCCAGGCTGCCCACGTTCGCCACCGCCCACGGCGGCCCCAGCGAGATCATCCGCCACGGCCGCAGCGGCTTCCACATCGACCCGTACCACGGGGAGCAGGTGGGTGGCGCTTGTTTGGGGGGGTAGGGGATGGGGACACCATACGCTGCAGGTTCGTTAGAGGCACGGTGTTCCTCTGCGGTGCTCCTCAGCGATGCTCCTCCAACCTCTCGCCACGCGCCCCAGCGCATTGCGCTGCATCCCCTCGCTCGGCTGGTTGAGTCCCGAAAATCACACTCTGTTGTTCGGCCTATTGCAACGCTTCAGACCCGGCCTTGATCATCGCCACCAGACTACTGCCCAAATGCCACTCATCCGCTGACCAAGCGCCACCCAACCACCGCCTGACTGCTGCCCAACCGCTGCCCAACCGCCTCTCAACCGCCGCGCGACCGCCGCCCAACCGCCACCCAGGCCGCGAACCTGATGGCGGACTTCTTCGAGCGCTGCGCCGCCGACCCCTCGGCGTGGGACCGCGTGTCACAGGAGGGCCTGGCGCGCATCAGGGCGCACTACACCTGGGAGATCTACGCCAACAGGCTGCTCACGCTCAGCAGTGTGTACAGGTGACGTGGGCGGCGGGCGGGGTCTGGGCGTTTCTGCGACTTTTCTTTGGTAGTTGCAAGCACCTGGCTAGCTTAGTCGTGTGGTCGGGAGCAGCCCTGAACCTCATTGGCAGCATCCTGAACAAGCCGCCAAAACGTTGGGAGGGCTTCTGAATGCTTAGAAGCGCGGTAGGCGCGCTGCTCACGATTGCACCAAATCGTGACGGGCTTTGTAGACGAAATACGTGCGTCCATCCTTGCGGTGGATGTGGATCGAGAATGTCTGCGCTGCTGAGCATTGCTTACAGGAGGCGTCTGGGGATCCGCACTGCTGTGGAACCGCTGGCACGTTCATCATCACAGCGGCTCAGGGCCTCGATCACCCAGGCCTCTCAGGCCTGTGTGTGGCCAATAAGTTATTGTGTGAAGCCGCCCGCTCTTGTTGGCGTGCCTGTGCTTCAACTTTCTCCAGGGCGGCTTTCACGGACGACCGTCTGCTGAAAGCCGTTCTGAAGTAAGGCTTTGCGGGTGGTTGGGGGATGGGATGATGGGATTGGTGGTTGGTTCGATCCCTCGCACTCCGCTGTGTATGAGCGGCAAGGGCGTACTGGGTTTAGCCCACTGCTCAAACCCTCCCTGCACATGGGATTTTCAAAAAGTCGTCTAGAGTGATCTGTCGAGAGCCTGGCAAGCCTGTGAGGCTGCCAGAACCGAGGCCGGCTTGACAAATTTGCTGCATGCTGCAAGCCCTGCCAGCTGCCAGCAATCTGCGTGCCTGCAGCATGCTGCAGTTCATGAGTTGTTACTTGCCAGTAATATATCTGCCACCTTGTGATCAGCTGCACGCTTGCTCAACCGGGCGGGCTCGTTGCTCTGGACGGTGCAGCATTTTCCCCCATTCTCGCCTTTCTTTTTGTTTACGCCGCTCCGTCAGCAGGCCGGGGTTGGGGGTGATGGATCCCTGCTTTCTACCTCCGATATGCCTCAATTTTGCCGTGAAATAAGTGGGGGCTGCGCTGCTCATCGTTTCCTCTGTGGCGAGCAACGCGAGGCCCTCACCCTTCCCAATGCCGCGTGGGATTTTCACCCTTTCAGCGTCTCACACCCCATCACCGCCTCCCGTGCTGCCCCCCATCCACTCCCCTGCCCCACTGCACCAATCCGCCATTCCCCCTTGCCCGTCACTGTTCCCACCCCCCTACCGCCACGCATCTCCCCCGCTCCTCCCGACGCGCACATCGCATC